CCAATACTGTGTGCTCTGCTACATTCTGCACCAGTTGTAACTTCCAAACGGTCTTCAAGGGCAGCCCCATGTAAAGTGCATTGCAATAATCCAGCTGGGAGGTAACAAAAGAGTGAATGACTGTGAGCAAGTCCTCTGGGTCCAGGAAAGAATGCAATTGGTTCACAAGATGGATCTGTGCAAAGGCCTTCCTAACCCTTATTCCAGGTTTTGTCAAGAATAAAATCTGACATGTTTAACCAACCAGTCTGGTTAATGGTGACCTCTAGGGGTTGAGCTCATCCCACTACCCATTGGACCCTTAAAAATGTGGTAGGCATGTCTCCTTCCCTCTAGTCCCTAAGCACTATCTTCTTGGGCCATTTGGTTTTGGGCAATGGGAGAATCCTGCTCTTAAAACTGGACTGTTATTTCTAGGCTTACCAGAACTCTAAGCCAAGTCCTGATTCCAAGATCTCATCAGCCTGATCAGCAGTTAAACAATGGTGGGGTTAGGTAACTGCATGCTAAAACAACCAAGATATTGTTTTCTTTCTTACTGTGTTTGCCAGTTGTGGTTCAGGTTGATATGAATATAGGTCCAGTGTCTTCTGGAACAGGAGGATTCCATCTATCAGCTGTGAACACATCCAAACATGCCAAACACTTGTGCAAACCAGAACAAGTTTTGACAGATGGCTAAACCTGCTAATCTAGCCATCTATCAAAACTAACCACTTCTCCAGCATCATCATTTTCACCATCCCATATGAAGGAGAAGCGGTGAAATCCACTTACCTTTGCTACCGGTTCGGGAAGAGGAGAGCACGGGAGCGTGCACGCACCTCTTCTGCACATGCACAGAGGATCAAAAATGGGACGTAATGACGTCTTGGCAGGTGGGCGGAGCCTCTTGCCGCCAGCGCTACCGGTTCACGTGAACTGGATAGATCCAGCTGGATTTCACCGCTGATTGGTGGATGTGCTGCCAGATGGCCAATGATACTTTGTGGGAGGGAAACAAAAGTGTTTATAACATGAACACCGTCAATGAAGATAGCACCATGTCCCAGCATCCTAGCTGCAACAAGGTGGGAATCACCATCAACTTTCTGCCAGTTCAAGGATATTGGATTGCTCTTTTAACTCATTCATGAGGGGAGGAAAGCCCAGGACTCAATAAAACAACGTATTTTCATCCTACTTGTGTTTTAATAAAACAGCCTTAAGTTAATTTTGACAGGAAGGATGGTAAAAAAAAGAAAAACATGGCTTCCCTTTGCTTTGTAAATTGTATATAATGTCCCCACTTCTTCAATGATTAAGACATATTTGGGTTTAATCAAATAGTGCTGCCCCCATGTCTAGGTGATCCTTATTCATTCTTATTGTGTAAGAACACTTCCCTTGATTTAATTTCCATCCTGCTGCATGGAGTGAAAAATTGTTCTGCTTCATTATCATTTTTAAACATCAGAAACCATCAATCTGTCTTATCTTAATTAGATCCCCTTAAGCTAAAAACACACCCAGCTCCTGTGTTTGGGTGTCATCCAAACCTTCTTTACAGTGTCATCTAAATATTTTCTAGGGCAAGGTAACCTGATTTGTGTTGGTGCTAATAAAGATATTACTAAACTTTGTATTTGGGGATTTCCCCCCCCACCCTCCTGGACCAATACAGCTCTATTTCATAAATATATGATGTAGGTGAGACTTTTGTAGAATAACAGATTTACAAAACAGCTATTATTAAAATATTAAAAACTGGGCTTACTGGATCATGTTAAACTATCTTTTTTTTTTTTTTTTAGAATTATGTGAAAGAATCCAGCATTCCTCAGGAGGTATTTGGATGTCCATCCATCAAAATTTGGCAGCTGGTCCATTAGTTTACCACAAACAACCCAAAGGTTATGCTGGCTCTAAAAAGATCTTATTTCTATGACTCATCAAAAGTTTTCTGAAGTCTCAAGCCTATTTCCAAATTGTAGTGCTCCTAATTGAACCCAAAGGTTGCTTAAAACTGAGAATTTTATCTTATCTGGGCCTTATAAGAACTGAAGTCTTCAGAAGGGACCAAATTGGGGGAATTTTGTTTACATTTAAAGGTTTTGAAGGTGCCTGATTAGATCATTTGGGCTAATTTTAATGCCTGCAGGTGTGATTTAGGTGGTATAATTTAGCCTTTAAAATGTTGTTGATCTCAAAAGAAGAGAGGAATGAAGCACTTGTCCTGCTACGCCTAACATTGTTTTGCAAATGATTAATTTGGGTTGCAGCATATTCATTGTTCCTAAGCTAAAATGTATAGTAAGAGACCAATGCTTGCTATTGTTCATTAAAAGAAATCAATCTCATATTTGAAAAGAGAGGCCCTAGATTTTCTTTTCCACCCAAACAGGATGTCTGTGTTACATCCATCCATCTGTGCTTTGGGGCATTTCCCCCCCCCCAACTGCCTTTTTGAGAACATTAAACAGGAAATTGGTGCCACTGGGTATATTCATTCTTCCCATCATTTTGGCTTGCAAAAATGTACAGATTTGCTGAGGCTAGACTCACTTCCTGTGGTACACTAATATTTGCCTCTCTTTCTACAGGAAAAACTGCTTTCTGTTTTAACACAAAACATGTTTTTTTTTTTTTTTAAAGAAGAAGACAGAGAGATGGAGTGGGAGATGGAAAAGCCAGCCTTTGGCCTATGTTGAAATAGCACCAATGTTTGTAGCATGAGAATACACTAAAGACTGATGCTTGTTCTAAATCCATACCGGTTCAGGCAAGCTGGTAAATTGTATCAGGAAGGCTCCACTCCTTGGCAGGGACAGACTGAAATGTTAGAATTGTGTCTGGTATTTGTCCACCAAACATAAGCAGGGAAGGGTGTGAGGCACTGTGAGTCCTTTTTAATGCTGAAAGAGATCTGGACAAGCAGTGAATAGGAAATACGGGCTTCTAAATTGTTTGGTCTACCTTCTTACCTTCGGTTCTTACATTCCATCTCAACAGAAGCAATACTGTTACCGACTTTTCTGGCTATTTTGCTGCATATATAGCATGCCATCAAATGCTAACTGGCTTCTTGTTTTCTAGTTGAATTTTTCATCCAAATCAAATTCTCAGGTTGGAATAAACAAGCTCAGTTTCTTGTGATACAATGAACTCGTCCATACATTTTTGACAATACAATACAGGTAGTCCTCGACTTAACAACAGTTCATTTAGTTACAGCGGCACTGAAAAAAATGACTTAGGACCATGTCTTCACACTTATGACCATTGCGGCATCCCTGTGGTCATGTGATCAAAAGTCAGATGTTTGCAACTGACTCACATTCATGACAGTTGCAGTGTCCACAGTGTATGTGATCCCCTTTTGCAACATTCTGACAAGCAAAGTCAACGGGGAAGCCAGATTCACTTAACAACCATTGTTAAATATTCAATACGGGAGTGAAGCCGAGGAAATAGGCTTCACTCAGGTCCGCCGTCTAGGCGGGAAAAATAGTTTAAGCTGATTGGCTAAGCCGTCTGACAGCTCCCTATAAAAGGGCAAGCTGTCAGACAGATAGTTACTGAGTTATTGCTTGTTCAAATAAAGAGTTGAAGTCGAAGATCTGCCTCTGTCTCTTCAATCACCCACTATTCTACAACCGTGTTACTAATTAACCACTGCAGTGATTCAGTTAACAAATGTGATAAGAAAAGTCGTAAAATGGGGCAAAGCTCACTTAGCAACTGACTCACTTAGCAACATAAATTTTGGGCTCCATTGTGGTTGCAAATTGAGGATTACCTGTACTATGGAATTGGTTTACTTCTTCTTGAGGGATGGGGGTATTCCATAGTCTGGCCAACATCCTGCTCTTCTCTAGAAAATTCTCGGAAAGTGCTGACTTGGTCTGACTCTGCCCCTAAATCTAGACAGAGTCAGCCAACAATTGTTCCTTCTGGTTGTAGAGGTGTCTTCAGGTTATAACAATAAAAAAGTGAACCTCCAGCTGGGTTTTGTTGTTGTTGTTGTTGTTGTACATATAAAAAAACAGGTGGAGTTTTGATCACCCCATCCAACCCCAATTGGATTCTATTATGTTATCTTTTTTTACTGATGTATTGCTTCTAAAGTTTTACCTAACCCTGTAACCTGGAAGCTAACAAGCTTATTTACAGCTTTAAAAAGAGTGAACCAATAGAAAAGTTGACACAATAAAATAATAAAATACACTGTCTCCCAAAGCATAAAAAAGAGGCTCATAGTCTAAAATGATAAGCCATTCCAAGAAACGGAAAACAGGGTGGAGAAAAGGAAGAGGTGGAAAGCTTATTACTCAATGCCAGAAAAGAAATGATGGACCTAGACTGGCATCTAGCTAGGCAAGATGTCTACCTCTCCCTTCCTGGAGTTTTTGTTTAAATAGCAATGAGCAGTTCTTAGGCTGATTGAACTAGTATCATGTTCTGGCCTTCAAGAAAACTATAGAAACTGAGTTCTTTGTCTAGCAAGGAAGGGCAAAAGAAGGTTCTTGCACTTCCTTCTTCTTTGAATAATGGAAGAGGCCAGATTGCTTTTCCTGTTCCCAACAACAAAGGGTACAGTCTATCAATGGCCCTTAATTTCCTAACTAATGAATGGCATCAAGACATGCCATCCTTCAGATTTTCAGTCCACAACAATGTACAGTATTAGTCTTGCATATGTTTCATTACACAAACAAAATAATATCATCAGTACTAGTTTGGGTAATCAAATGTCTTGGGGGTGGGGGGGAACCCAAGCTCAGAAAGCACCAAGAACCCCTCATTTCAACCCCGACCTATAAATATTCTCCTTCATTAACATTAGACTTTCTATATTGCTGACCTTTGGTGGGAAATACAACTATTGTTCCTGAAAGTGACAAATTTTCAAAAGAAATCTGATAATTTTGTCCATCTGCAAAGCCTTTTTTTTTCCCCAGTGGGAAGTCAATGGGGCAATTGCCTCAGGATTTTCACTTAGAGAAGTCCCCGTCCAATTTAGTTTGGTAGTTGACATCATGAGGTGAATTAGCTTTTTCATTAGAGACAATAAAACTGCCTAGTTAAAGTAAGAATTATAAGAGATACCAATTTCAAGAGACAAAAAAAAATGTTATTTAAAAAAAAACCCATTAAGCTTTGAGGTGGTTAGAAGTGAGCCAAACGGCCATTGGGCCTGTGAGTGTCTTTCAGAAGTTCCAGGCATATCATTCCTTTAATGGAGAATTAATTTGACATCTAAACTAGTCTTTTCTAACCTCCAGTTCTCTTGAGTTTATAACTTCCTAATGAATATAAACATTAAAAATATAAATTTGCTAGAAGTGGGAATAAATTATCTTGCTTTGTTATTCTGAAAACAATGAAGAGAGCAATGAAGACACACAGAGAGAAAGAAATGAAAAGAATTTCAAGGCCCTTGTTTTCTAGTTAGTTTACATTCCTAATAACTCAGTTTGAGAGTTAATGAGGTGGGACTCTGTTTTCTATCATTTTTTATTATCTACTAGAGATACAGTAGGCCAAATAAGCAGCTGAGCAAATTCTACAAGTGACAATTTTTAAAAAAGCAAAACAGGACCCTAGAAGGCAACTGAAAACAAAGCTTGGACCAGAAAAAAATGACAGTCACAAATATATGGGAACACCATCATCAACAGCTTCTCCCTGGGATCAGAATGAGTAATCAGGTAGATCAAACTTTATATCAGATTTATTTATTTATTTATTAAATTTTTATCCTGCCTTTATTACTTTATAAGTAACTCAAAAGGGCAAATATACATATACATATTATTGGTTCCGCCTTGTGTTTTCCAAACAACAACAGCCCGGTGAGCTGAGCTGAGCTGAGAGAAAGTGACTGACCCAAAATCACCCAGGCAGACTTTCATGCCTAAAGCAGGACTAGAATTCACAGTCTCCTGATTTGGAGAGGCCAGCACCTTAACCTGTTGACCAAACTAGATCTAATTGCAAACCAAGTACTTTTAATGAATATGAAATAATAATGGGTACTCCAAAATGTGATCAAAGTCTGAACTACAGAATCAAAGAAATTGGCCCTGCTATCTATGCAATGTTCCTTCAAACGATTCTCTTACTGTACTACCTCTTTATAATAACTTAATTACAGTTTAGCAATTTAAAGTTCCTACAATCTTTCCTTATAAAATTGAATTCAAGACTCTACAACAACCTCCAGACATTTTTTTTTTAAAAAAAATTATGCTGCCCGGAACAGCTGAGTGAGCAAAAAAAGAAAGTATAATTACATCTCATGATCTCAATACTATTTATACGTCCATACAGTCTAAAATTGTGATGTTGTTATTGTTGTTAAGTAGTCATATGCTGACTCATATTTACTAATACTAAAAATCCCTGCTTCCTTTTCATATGTAATGCTTTTACATATGTCGGATTGTCCTGGAAACCAATTATTTTTCTTAATCTGAATTTTTATCATATTGTAATAGCATTTTATTATATTTTTTTTAACAAAGGAATATTTTTTTAGAAAAGGAAATTGTGGTTTAAAACAAAATTTGAGACTGGTAACCATGTTTTATCATGTGGAAATAATGTTGGAGTTCATTTTAAAAAAATCTTTTCCAAATGATTTGTATATGTATAATTTTAAACAAAACACTATTAATCTATTTCCTCTTAATTCAGCATATAACCAGGATGCTGGATGCAAATGTATGCTTCAACATTTGTTGAGTTGCTTTTTTTCTTATAGTGATTACTCCTTTTGTTCGTTTATTATTTTGTTCATCACATTTGTATGCTTTTGCATACAAGGCTCTTAGTGGCTTCCAAGATACAAAAAATGGTATTGCTTTGGCCTTTGCTAACATCTGATAGTATGAGCTTTTTGAGGGAGGGTTCATGTTTTACATACAGTTCCTTTTCTTCCAGTCTTCTCATAGTTTTCAGTGTTTGGGAAAGAGAGGGAGGAAAGCTGATATCTCTTTATGTGGACATAAATAAGTGTGTATGCAATGCATCCATATGAATGTGACACATCCTGCCATTTTATGCAGGGAAGTATTGCCTGGCATATAGTTCAAACCGCTGAAAGCAGATGGTGAGACAGTTTTGTTCTCTAACAGCCTTTTCAACTGAAGAAGCAGCACCCTGTGGTGTTTTTAGTTCCATAAAAGAATAGCTTCAAAATTAATAAGTGGTATAATATTATTTATTGAAAATAGCAACTAATGCAAAGATTATAGAGAATGTGTGCTGATCTCCAAACTGACTTTACACTACCAACAAGTGATGCTATGCCCAACATTGTGAATTAAAGATTGTAAGATAACCTATTACAATATTGAGTAAAACATCAGTGACTGTATTGTTAGACGTTTGTAGGAGCACAGCCATTATTTATTAGCACTTTCCTCTGGAAACAAACCTAGCTTTTACTTCAGTGAATAAGCAGCCATGGCAGTTATTTATTGGGAAGAAAAGAGCAGCTGAGCTTAACCAATGCTACCCATTAGTGTAAATATGTTATAAATCCCTGTATTCTACAATGAAATCTTGGAGGCTGAATACGTCCATATGAAAGAAAGCAACTTGCAACAGGTTTTCTGTCAGCTTCAAGGCTGGTGCTGCATCAAATACTCTGCTCTTCATGCCCGTCTCACCAGGACTCTGATTCCACATATCTTTTGAATTGAACAGGCCCTGGGAATACCACTGCTGTGCTCACACAAACTCCCCGACCTCCTTCAGACAGGTGTTAACTTTGTAAGCTTACTATTTTGTTTTACTGAATGGTCTGACAAGAATCCTCCAGGGACGGCAAAACCTGCAATTCCCATTAATGATGTCTTCAGGAACTCCAATCTATATTATTTGTTTATATCTCTCTAAATATCTATATTTGTATTCTATATTACTTTTTCAATATAGTAAAGGTATAACAAACAAACAAAACAATAGAAAGTAAGAAAAAGAGAATGAAAATGATAATGCCTTTTGCCATTATATGCCTATTATTATGCATTATGCCTATAGAATAATTATCATCTTGTTCTTTTCCACGTCCTGTTTGTCCCTTTTAATTCCCATCTATATCTTTTCTTAATCCTTACAAAATAGTGTATATAATTGGTTTATGGTTTTGTTGTTATTGTTGTTTTAAAGACCAACATCTCATGAGATCAACAAATCTCACTGCTTTTGTGTGAGATATTGGGCTAGTTATTAAGGATGTCTGTGAGAATTACTAGCAATCTCATAGGTCATTTTAATTTTCCTGGAGCCTTCTGATTGTGTAAGACAAAACGGTCTGAAAAGATATATTACTAGCTTTATAATCACCTGAAGTATGCTAAAATGGTTTGTTTTTGTTTCTTCTTCTTCTTACTTTCCATTTCTTGATATGTTTTACTTGGGTTGTTTATTTTAATTTAGTTTTGCACGTTTGTGTGTTTGCAAGTTGTGTGTACCTCATTTTGAGGAATCTTCAGTGAGATGGCAGAATTATGTCTCTCTCTCTGTGTCTGTCTCTTTCTGTCTCTGTCTCCGTCTCTGGCTCTGGCTGTGGCTCTCTGTACACACACACACACACACACACACACACACACACACACACACGCACACACACACAGAGTGTATATATGTATATATCCACACACACACATATATAAAAATTCAATGCGAGGTTTCAGGAAAGGGGGAATGGTTTCAAGCTTCTGATATAACTGTCAAAAACAGTGTGTGCATGGACAGTGTCACTTTGCCAGCAATGCGGATATGGCCTCCTCTGGTCTGGGAAGACAAGATGTTCCTAACAGTTTCATAGGTGACCTTATGCCACATTCTCTCCATTTTACTTTATCTTAAACATCTATTCGAAAAACAAGCATTCTCACGTAAGGGAATCCAGAATAAGGCACCACCTTAATCCTCAGTCCTGGCTCTTTTCCCTTCTAAAAACTGTTTGTGTATTTCTGTGTATGTGTGTGTCAGAGACTCTGTGTGTGTGTGTGTGTGTGTGTGTGTGTGTGTGTGTGTGTGTGAGAGAGAGAGAGAGAGAGAGAGAGAGAGAGAGAGAGAGAAAGAGAAAGAGAGAATTTTTACTAATTAATTTATTTTTCACATTTCTGAACTGCCCACCTCCCTCAGAGTTTTTGAAAGTATTGCAGCTTCTGAAGGAGAAAACATTTTTCTCCTTGTTTTGAGTTCCTGGATCTGTTGTAGAGAATTTGAATTAAGCACACGTTCATTTCACATGTTAGCAAGAGGACAACCGCCAGTCCCTCTGAAAATTTCTCTGTTCCTCTCAGGACAAGGCTACCCATCGGAGAGTTCTGAGAAAAGAAGCTTTGTGAAATTTAATCGTCTCTTCTCATCGAGACCAAAACTGTTATCTTTACAGCACAGAAAAGAGAACTTCCATGCTGGTTTGGAGAAGTCACACTGTACTGTACTTGTATGCCCTGTGCTCTGCAAGTTAATAACAAAGAACTAGTGTTTCATATGGTTGCTTAATTCCATAGCAGCATTGCACTGTTCTCTCTCCCACATACACATACAAGGTGTGTGGTGTACACAAATGAGCAATTTTTCACCAATATCTCTTTCTTTGGGGATGAAACATTATCTTCTTTTTCTTTTTAGAAATGTGAAGCCATTATTACATGGCAGAACAGTCTTGCCTATACTGCTGGAGCTGTTTTTCCACATGGATCCATAACTCCCAGATTGTTTTATTTCCATAGTTGTTTCATTAGTTGGCTTCTATTTACACCTGATGACCTGTTCTCACAGTAATAGCTCTAGGTTCATTGGGTCCGTAGGCAAGATTTCCTCTAATCAGTTTCTTCCTCTTCTAGTGAACACCATCATTAATATGAAGCAATACTATGTCAGAGATATTATGGGAAATTACTATTAAAACCAGCCAGTTTGGCAAGTCAGTCAATAAAAAGGCCCCAGGACAGCTTTTAGTAGGTTGAAAATTTGCTGAGGTTCTCACATGCCGATACTTCCCTTCTGTCTAAGGTTCATGCATAGATGATCTTTTGCCACCTGCATTAGAGATTTTCTGAAGGAATTACTTTTATATTACTGCCTTCCCATGCACCAATAAGTCAGCTCCCTGACTGAAAATGTCACTGACTATGGGAAATGAAATGGGCCCTTCTTCCTCTCTCGCTCTCTCCACCTAAACACTCTTTTTTATTTGATTCCTTCATTACTTCAGCAACAGAGTGGTCAATGCCTGGAATGCTCTACCTGACTCCGTTGTTACATCCTTGAAACCCCCACAGCTTCAACCTTAAACTGTCTACCGTGATCCTCACCCAATTCCTAAGAGGTCCGTAAAGGGGGCGTGCATAAGAGCACCAGCGTGCCTACCGTCCCTGTCCTACTGTCTCCATTTATTTGTACTCATTTCTTGTGTTCATGTCCATGTTTATACTTATACCTGTTATCTTGTACATGTTTGACAAACTAAATAAATAAAATAAATAGTTATTTTCCCCTGTGTGCTTCCTTTTTTATGACAACAGTAATAGCTGCTTATCACTTATAGGTAATCTTATAATGTGCTATGAAGTTCTATGGGCAGGCTTACTCAAAAGCAAGCTCGGTTTTGTTCAGTGGAACTGTTTGGTTAAGTGTGCCCAGAATTTCAATTGCATCATAATTCAGTGTGAGGAGAAAAGGGAAAAAGAAGATGTGGAAAAACTGTGCCTCAAACCTCTAGAAAAGCCTTGTATTTTATTATTCATCATGCGGTATGATAAGTAGTAAAGCCAGGCAGGCTATATACTAAATAAATAGTTTCATTTTTCTGTCTTTACATGGCCCAGCATTCTACTTTAATTAAAATATGTAAAGGAGCCATGGCTATAGGGAGACTTGATATCATCAGGATGTGACTGTACTCGACCAATCTTTACATTTTCATGCCTTGCCTCTCTTATTACATTAGAATGATTTCTTCCAACAACCAGTTCACCAAACTGCTCAGAAAGTTAACAACTGGTTCTCCTGAAGTGATGCGAACTGGCTGAATCCCACCACTGATATTATTCCAGGATTAATTGTTCATACCCGCACCATGTTTGGAAATCATGCCTAGTTTCTAAGCCAAATAAATTATTATTGCAAAATCCATGACAGCTCTTTCCTGTCACTCAGTTTAAAACTAGGTCAGATATTCAAGACTGGGTTCATGAAGTTCCTTTAGGACTTACTTATTTTCAGTGACTCCACTATGAAGCCCTAAATTAAATAAATAAGTCAATTAGCAAATTTACTTAAGAAAGAGAGAGGAATTGTATCCATTAGAATGTATGTTGTTAAAAAAAGAAGATACATACAATATTTGTGTAATATTTGTATAAATCTCTTCATACACATTCAGAAAAAAAGCATAATTTAAATATAATTCTATTATTATTTAAGCAAATGGCATATCATACATGGACTAGCAATATATATTAACATTTCACCTAGATTATTAGAACACATTCAATATTAATGTTAAAAATATCTATGTTCAAATATCAATGTCTAGGCCATCCAACGACTGAAGTGCAACATCGTTTATACAAAACAAATCAGATATTGGACTGGTATATGTCCTCAGCTTACAGACGGTCACAGTGTGATCTACAGTTTGACCTGGGACCCCAAAGTCACACTGAGGGGAGGATACTATGTCCCATTTATACAGAGTGCCCTGGCAGACGCTGTGTGAAGTGCGAATCCTATTCAGGATTGTCCATTGCAATTCAAAGCCTAGTGCCTTTTTTTGTGGGGTCTACCCAGAGGTGGTTTTCAGCAGGTTCTGACCAGTTCTGGAAAACCGGTAGTGGAAATTTTGAGTAGTTCGGAGAACTGGTAGTAAAAATTCTTACTGGCCATGCCCCCATCTATTCTCTGCCTCCTGAGTCCCAGCTGATTGGGAGGAAATGGAGATTTTACAGTATCCTTCCCCTGCCATGCCCACCAAGCCACACCCACAGAACCGGTAGTAAAAAATTTTGAAACCCACCACTGGGTCTACCCATATCTGGTGTTCAGCGGCCCACTTGGTTTTCCATTGGAAATTGATGTTAAAGCTGTTGGACAGATTTTGGGCAAGTGCCATTGGGGCTTCCTTGATTTGAGTCTTTCGGCTGATAATTGAGGAAGGTCGGTATGCACCAGTAGGAGTGAGTTCTTCAGAATTTTTCTGTATTTTCTCTTAAGTGCATCTTGCCGCAGTAATAGTTAATATATTCTAAGGAGGTTCCTTAGTGCCCCTCCCATCTGTTGGTCATCTATTCAGCAGGAGTAAGTTGCTTGATTATGCATGGCTGGTCCGGGTGAGTAAAAAACCAATGGCCAGACTCTGCTCAGCTTCTCTTTTACTTACAAGGTAATCATGACACTCAGTGAGAATGCACAAAGAATGAGAACAGAACAGAATGCAAGAGGGAGTTGAACTCAAAAGATAAGCCAGAAGTGATTCTTTTGCCTTTGTATGCTACATCAATTTTTTTGGAAGAATCTGATGTGATTTAAACAAAAAAGTGAGCGCATTAGGATGAGAGTGCAGATGAGTGACCATTAGACACTGAATCTGGGAGCCACCATTGTTCTTACTGTTTGTAGTGGTGAGTTCTCACACTAGCATCGCAATGATGATAAGCCATCCTGTGTTGCGCAATCAATTTGGAACAAAGACACAGCTCTTTTTGGAATTCTGAGAAAGGCAGCAGAACTATTATTTATTTCTCTAATGTAAGAGGAGGGAGCCTTAGAAGAGCTAAAAGCTGTATTTTAAAGAAATGCTTACTGTAAACATGATCAGTGCAAGACTTATGCTCACAAACATTATTTCTGAAAAACAGAACAAATGGAATCTAAATCTTTGAAGCTGTTGAATGATTAGAGTTTGCAGAAGGGTTTCACAAGAATCCTTGGAAGGCTAGAGTTTTATGGCTCTTCTAATCAGAAGCAGCAACAACATATTTTGACATAAGGACAGTTATTCTCTAACTATTCTTAAATCAGCATATTTTTGCAAGCGCACATTCACAGGCAATATGTTCAAAGAGGGAAACCACAGTTATTTGGTGTTGGGAACAGCAGTTTGTCTATTCATTTTTATTTCCACTCACTGAGAACTCAAAGCTGGCTGAGATCTCTGTTGCTGGTTTAGTTGTCAATGACCATCTGAGCTTCCAAAGTCTGCAGAAACCTGAGTCAGGCAGGTGTAGTGTTCCGTTCTAGGGGAAATTTACTTGGGAGTAATAGATTTTTTTTGTCTGGTCACTATTTCAAGGTGACCAATAGACCAGTACTGAGATTCTAAAGACAGAAGAATAGCAGCAGCAGAACTAAAGTAATATCTGACCAATATCAGATTTTTTTTTAAATGATTCTCCTTGGTGGTCCAAATTTGTCCTCAAAACTGCATTGCACCTGATCCTTTGGGAATACAATCTAGGACTGTTTGCTTCTTTTTTTTTGCTCTTGTATACTTGCAGATATTGTATGTGGACTCTGTTTCTGCCCTCACTGTCTTTAATCATAATTGTTTATTCTCCTTGTAAACCACTATTCAATACAGACTCAGGGTGGTTTACAACACAATTAACAAAAACATCCATAGCAGTTAAAAATGCCCATACTAAATATAAATAAACAACAAAGAGCTAATCAAAATCACAATACAAGGACAAGTTATAGTCGTAATAATGAAAGATAAACAATCATCAAACCAGGTAAAATGATGTAAATAATTAAATCAATATCAGTAATTCAAAATGAACCGAATTAAACAAACAATTCAGCCAAATGTTCTTCAAAAATATTCTGTCTTGAGTAGCTTCCAAAATGCTAGAAAGGGTTATTTTAATACTACAGGAGGGTATTATACAAGATTAGAGAAATAATGTCTCTTTGACTTTATTCCCTTTACTTCATGAAATTAAAAAATGACCAAAAGCTTCTCCTGAAAAGAAGAACAGAGCAAAGTATCACCTTTATAATAAAACAGTTTTCAGAAATAGCTAACTGATATGTATTATTTTGAGTTAGCAAAATCAGATTTCATATATTCACATGCCAGGTCCAAACAAATAAACTATATGTGGAGGAGTGTCCACAGGATGTAGTAAAGAAAAAATCAAGATGGCTGCCTTGATGATGTGATGATAGCTCCAACTAGTTTTTATGTGCAAAGAATCATATTGATCTTGATATGCTTATTAAGACTTGGATTCCCAGGGCAGTATAGATTAAATTCACACCAGAGTCTATTAAAAATCTGGGATTTAGTAAAGACTATATAAGATTGGCATACCATATTCATAATGGTCAGTTATTATCAATGCTCTTGTTGCATTATGGTGTCCTTGTTGAATTTTCCATGTTATCTTCTAGGACAGGTCCACTGTGTACTGCATTAATCTATGTGAGAAATAATCAGCATTCAAGACTATCTATATGCAAGTGTGGTTACAGTATAACTTTGTGTCCCAGCCTAGTCTAATAAGAGATGATTTACGTCACAGAAGGCACTTACATTTCTCATTGTTTTTAGAGGCAGTCTCAAACTATGCATCTGAATTTTTGGGGTGAGTGCATTCCTTCAAAAATAAGTTGAATGCCAGCCAGAAGACTATCTTCAGTCTCCTCTGTCTCCTCTGAATTGAGCTGTATACTTTGGTGCAGGGGTCTCCAACTTTGGCAACTAAGACTTGTGAACGTCAACTCCCAGAATTCCTCAGCCAGCAAATTCTGGGAGTTGAAGTCCACAAGTCTTAAAGTTGCCAAGGCTGGAGACCCCTGCTTTGGTGGATCTCATTCAGCCCTTCTACTGTCTCATTTGGAAGAAAAGGAAAGATAGAGAGCTACATGTCATGAGATGACAATGATCTATTGCTCTAAGTTTCTGAATAAACTCACTGTGCAGCTTCAGATTGATGTTGAAAAGCATGGTGATAAAATAAAGGTTTAAAGTACTCCACAGAATAAACATCATGGGATTAAGTGGTTATCCCACAGCACCATCCTATGAAAGCAACCTGTCAGAGAAGTGTGAAACTATCAGATAAAATAAGTGAAACTAATTATCATCCACACCTAACTTGGATCACATCATTACACAAGTGTCCTGTGATGTGGTGCGGTAGTTAAAGTATTAATCCAGCACTCAGGAACTTCATGTTCAAGTCAACCCACAACTATGGAAGCTCACTGTGTGACTTTTGGTTATCCCTTTTCAGCCCAACATACCTCACAGAGTTTTTGTTGCCGGGTGTGGGGGAGAGAAATCTATTGCAATCCATCCGGGTCTGGAGAAACATCATCCTAATGAATCTAACATCCTTGCAGAGAGGAATGCTGATTGTAGATCTAAATCTTGCCACCATCTTTAAGACTGGGAATTTTGTGACACTGGTATATACTGTAAATAATCTAAGTAGACAAAGAACCCAAGTCACAGATAGAAGTTACAGGCAGTTGTTAATGGTATT